AGGCCAAGTCTCACAGCCATACAACAAAACAGCCCGTACTGTAGCTTGATACACACGTCCCTTCAGATTCAGGGATAAACCATTCTGACGTCATAGGTGTCTCAAGTTAGCGAACGCGGCCCGAGCCTTGCAGATTCGTGCATTCACCTCATCTGTCACACTGCAATCAGAACTAATACAACTTCCAAGGTACGTAAAATGCTCCACAACTTCCAGTACCTCTCCCTGGATTGTAAGTGGCCTGTTCGACGGCTTCAGATATTACGCTGATCTTACGTTCCAGTTGGGAGTTAATCCTGTTGTGCTTCGCAGACATAGATTTCGCTGATGCTTACCTTCAAGTAGAAATCTCCGATGACTCCAAAGAACCTCTGACAATTAACAGATCGCGGTTTGTTTCAAATGAACCGTTTGCCATTTTGAGTAAAATCTACACATCAATATTTCAATAAACAATGGATGCCATGCTAAACGGTTCATTAGTTGCTGCTTCTTTGGGTGGCATCATTCTCACAGGTTCTAGTCAGGAACTTTTGCATCGTTTGCATTGTGTAATCGAACGAATTCAACAATATGGTTTTCGTTTACGTGCAGATAAAGGTGCAGTTTTTCTCACATCCAGCAAATATTTGTTTGTCTTCTCCAATCCAGTGAACTGAGTCTGACTGATACATTACCAAAAAGATATAACACATCCTCTGATCAGGAAGAACTCCATCGCACAACCTCAGTACTTGGTCGAGTTGAGGAATACGGTTTCACCTGAGAGCGGAAGAATGTGCACTTTTCTAACACCTATCAAATATGTAGGTTATAGTATCGATTGCATCGAACAAAACCGATGCAATTCAGGGAATGCCGCCATCGACTGATGTGCCATTGCTACGATCTATTCTCGGGATGATGAGCTATTGAAGTACTTTCCTGCCAGATATGTCACGCGTTCATGATCCTCTCAACCAACTCTCAAAAAAGGATGTTTCCTGGAATTGGTCACCTGTGTCAATCAGCTCTCGGTACAGTTAAATCACTTCTATAGTCAAATGCATCCAACCACGGAAACGGAGCAGCCGATATCCGGACGGAATTAAAGAAGCAACCGCTCATGCAGTCTAACCTTTGGCACCAGCCGAATACAACCAGTCAAATACAAAAAGCACTTGCAATCGTATCTACCGTCAAGAAATTCCACAAAATAATTTACGTCGTCATTTCACACGCTTCACAGATGACAAGCCGCTTATCAGCATTTTCGGTTCGAAGAAAGGCGTTCCGGCATACACGATAAATCGTCTCCAGCGCTGGGTGACCATTCACCTTGGTTGCGATTTTTCAACTAAATGCCAGTCTAAGGATATAATTGATCAGTCAGACGCCTTATCAAGACTGATGGACCCACAATGACAGCCGGCATAAGACAGTCATGGCTTCCGTTTCTAATGAACCGGGATTTCACACCATACTCGCTGTATCCATTCGAAACCTTCCGGCTAATTCAACAACGGTGTGTGACGAAACCAGATCTCGTGCAAGTACTACACTATCACTGAACATGCTAGCCATTGTCAGTGATACGCGACATTCAGCCCTTAATCCATCGACGATTTTCTCAATCTGAAGTCGATAGTTGTCGTCTATTTGGTGAACGCGTTATAATAGCATCCAAACTACAGGCCCGAGTACTGGAGCAGTTTTATTTTGGACACCCATTCATCAATCGCATTAAAGCCTTGGTGCAAAATTATGTGTACTGACCGGGTATGAAGAAACATGTAGAATTTGCGCAGTCCTGTTCAAAATGTCGGTGTTCTGTAAGATCACCGCGGAAGGCCGAGTTATCTTCGTGACCTGTACCAACTAAGCTTGATTGCGTCTACATATTGATTTTGCAAAACCATTTAATGATCAGTATTATCATATCACGGTTGATGTTTACAGTGAACGACCGAAAGTTATCATGATGGATCACATCACTTCTCGCACCACAACTTTGGAGCTCACTCGCATCTTCGGCACGCCAGAAACATTGATTTTAAATAACGGCAGTGCAATTGCCTCGGTGGGATTTGCTGTTCTGCAAGCTAAATAGCATTCGCCACGTTAGACCGCCACCATTCTATCCTCAATCGAACGGCCTAGTCAAACACTCAGTTTCAGACAAGCGTTTCAAAAACTTTAAGGGGAGTGAACGTCAGTGGATCTCGGTGAAACGTTCTTGTTGAGCTACCGTGCGACGACTAACACAAATGTGCCAAGTAACTCACCCGCAGAAGCGTTGTTGGGGCGTAAAATCCACTTGGCACCATTCAGCTGTAATACCCTATGAGTAAGTAGTTGACGTACCACTCGAAGGAAGCACGGGGGCTCCAATACTGCCAGGTTACCCAAGCTTAGACAAGCCATCGAGATGCAGAGATTGAGTGAATCCCACTTCGCATTCATATCCCGGGAAACCAGGACAATGTCTGGGCTCTTCGCCCGCGACAAGACACTCAAAGCGTGATTAACAATGTCTTTGGGAGTATCAGAGCTACAGTTCACCGGAACGTAAGTAGATATGACGAAGAGACGGCGATTATTAGCGTCTTTATGGGGCACACAAATGTTGCCAAACGGACTGCTCGGAGGCGACTGGCAGTGGGCGAACAATCAACCTGAGACCTTTCAGGTCTGTGGCTTGAAACGACATCAACCTCCGCAGAACCAGCCGCAGCGGTTTCTGGATCTGAGGTGCGTAACCGGAAGCGAGGTCAGTTCAACAACCCTAATTGGGTCTTTACTCACTTCAGAAAGATAACACAGAAA